TACTTGACTAGCAATAAATAAACGCATGGCAATGTTCACGTTTCTACAGAGTGTGTTAAAACAAATGGCCACAAATAAATGGCTGTCAGTAAATCTCCAGTTATAATTGACATCTCCCAATGATTTACAAAAGGTCATGCTTTTTTTGGATGGCATTGGCCTCTGCACTTGCTGGTTCAGTTTGGGCCATTAATCTGAGCCTGGCCAGGTTAAACCCATTAGACCAGCAGACGCTCTGCACCATCTGCACTGAGCTCAGAGAGAATAAAGCCAATGAAGAAGACTGAGGGGCCCTGGCCAATCAGTGTGTGTGTTTGTTTGTGTGTGTGTGTGTGTGTGTGTGTGTGTCTGTGTTTGTATGTGTGTTTGATTATGTATCTGTGTGTGTGTCTGTATGTATGTGTGTTTTGTGTATGTGTACATACACGTGAGTGTGTCTCTGTGTGTTTGTGTCTGTATTCCTTTGTGTGTGTGCAAACTTGTGTGTGTGTGTGTGTGTGCGCCTTTGTGTCCACTTATATGTTCTCTGTGTGTGTGTTTGGGGGGAGGGGGTCTGGTGTTGGGTATGTGTGTGTGTGTCTGTATGTATGTGTGTTTTTGTGTGTGTGTGTTTGTGTGTCTGGTGTTGGGTATGTGTGTGTGTGTGTGTCTCTGTGTGTTTGTGTCTATATGCCTGTGTGTGTGTGTGTGTGTGTGTATATGTGTATATGTGTTTATGTCTTTGTATGTATGTGCGCACGGGTGTGTGTGTGTTGTGTCCACTTACGTGTTTATCTTTCTGTGTGTGTGTGTGTGTGTGTTTGCACATGGGTGTGTGCGTATGTGTGTTTGATTATGTATCTGTATGTGTGTGTGGGGGGGTGTCTGGTGTTGGGTATGTGTGTGTGTGTGTCTGTATGTATGTGTGTTTTTGTGTGTGTGTCTCTGTGTGTTTCTGTCTATATGCCCGTGTGTGTGTGTGTATATGTGTTTATGTCTTTGTATGTGTATGTGCGCACAGTTTTGTGTGTGTGTCTTTGTGAATATGTCTTTGTATGTATGTGCGCACGGGTGTGTGTGTGTTGTGTCTACTTACGTGTTTGTCTGTGTGTGTGTGCGTGTGTGTGTTTGCACATGGGTGTGTGCGTATGTGTATGTGTGTTTGATTATGTATCTGTATCTGTATGTGTGTGTGTGTGTGGGGGGGGTCTGGTGTTGGTTATGTGTGTGTGTGTCTGTATGTATGTGTTTTTGTGTGTGTGTGTGTGTGTCTCTGTGTGTTTGTGTCTATATGCCTGTGTGTGTGTGTATGTGTTTATGTCTTTGTATGTATATGTGCGCACAGTTGTGTGTGTGTCTTTGTGTATATGTCTTTGTATGTATGTGCACACGGGTGTGTGTGTGTGTTGTGTCCACTTACGTGTTTGTCTTTCTGTGTGTGTGTGTGTGTGTGTGTGTGTGTGTGTGTTTGCATATGGGTGTGTGCGTATGTGTATGTGTGTTTGATTATGTATCTGTATGTGCGAGTGTGTGTCTGTCTTTATGTATGTGGCCTTTGTGTGTGTCTGTGTTTTGTGTGTGTACATACACGTGTGTGCCTCTCTGTGTGTGTCTGTATGCTGTGTACGTGTGTGTGCGCGCGCGTGTCTTTGTGTGTGCCTATACAAGCATGATATAAGCACTTAAAGCACTAGATTCACTCACTCCTGGCAAATAGCCACTCAGCCACACACACACACTGTCCGAAAGAAACGGCTGAATGGAAATGAGCATTTTGGGCTTTGGGTAACACACCTGCCCTTTTAAAAAGCTGAAGCAGCTGCGTTAGCACCACGATGCTTATCCAAATGCTAAGCTGATATCAACAACAGGCCACCTGCAGATGTTAGCCGTGCACTTTTCCATGTAGTCCTGTGTAAATGAAGACACTGCAGCAGGTGCTTCATCAAGCCATGAGGGGTTTTCAAACACATCCAGAGCTTATTTACTGAACCGTCTATTGGGTTTAATGAGGGTTATGTGTAACAAACATCCATATTTCTAAAAATCTTGTTAAATATGAAGCTGTTTAACTTTAAATACCTTCAGTAAAGCTACTAGCGATTAGTGTAATAATAACGTCCGTCACATATTCATGATATCAAATCAATGAAATCTGTATTTATTTTTTTTTGTTGGATATAAGATGAAAATGGTTTTCAATCACTAAAGCTGTGTGCGTTTTATACAGTAGAATGAGTCCTGCCTATTTTTTCTGAATAAAAAAAATAAACATTATGAAACATTTTAACCATGATTTACAGGATGTAAGTGCCAATAGTTTATATACCAAAACATCTTGTCAGGTTTAATACATCACAATGTGGCTCTGAAAATTTAATATAATTTCTGTCATGTTTAATATAAAATATTAGGGTTGTGTGTG